AAAAAAAAAAAAAAAAAAGAAATAAAATCACACAGTTAAAGAAAAAAGAAAAGAAAAGTAATGTACCACGTATCTCCTGGAGATTCACAATACATACTGGCACCTTAAAGGCTCAGGGCCGTCTGCCAAGAAATACTGTGCTCAACTTGGTTTAACACCAAAGTTATAGCCACATATTTGACTACAAACTCCTCTTTAACAATATACCTGTTGGGGCCCCAATGGTAACACTGGTATGGACAGTAGAAGTTCCATACGGGGAAAAGACAGTGTGTGCCAGAATCCCCAAATCTATCCTCAACCCGTAAGATGTAGCCCTTTTATAAAACTCCACTTGAGACTAAACTGGCTCCCACTGAAAGGAAATGAATCTTACCCTTCCCGCAGCCTCACTCAAGCCTTACCTTTTTTCTGTAGCCGCTCTAGATTCTCTCTTATCTTACCCCCGCCTGGAAACAAAGTATTCCTTTTCCAAAACCTCTGGGCAGGTATCTGCACCTTTCTTAGAGCCCTGAGATATTTCCTCCCTGATCTGATCTATTTAGGTTTTTGTCTTGTCACCCTCCTTTTTAGCCTTGGTCAGTAGGTGTAGTCTACAATATATTGACCAATCATTCTCTTACACAATGAAATCATACGAATACACAGCAACTTCTGGGTGGTAAACAGAACATTTCCCCAGGGCTCAGTTGACCTCTGTTGTAGTTTGCTTCTGGTCACTTACTTAACCCCTGTGGTCCCTGGCATCCTTATCAACAAAATAGGGATAGTGAAGATTTACCTCATAGGATGCTGTAAGGATCATGTTAGGTAATGTTCACGGAAAATGCTTCCAAAATCATGAAGCATGGTACCAATATAAGGTGTTGACACTTGCATTGTACACGGAAATTCACAGGCACCCTGCATTCTCTGAAAGGGCCAAAGGCCACCAGGAGGAGACAGTCTCCCCAAATGCTTGGTCTAAACAGAGGCCACCATGAGTACCTATCAGATGCACTTGTCTTCCGATAGTAGATTTGAACTAAGCCATCCTTGGTCTCACAGAACAGTTTCCTTTCAAGGATCACTTCTCTGTATCATCCTTAATTCTGTCAGAAATAGATTGGCTTACTCAGGCCCTTCCAGCTGACTAGAGCCTCAGCTCCCCTCCCGTTCAGGGGCCCAGAGCCTTAGGAAGCTTCTCCCTGACAGCGAAACGGTCAGGGTGGGTCCTGGTTCTTAGACTTGCTCTGGTGTTAACTAGCTATCTGACTGACTATGGCCACACACTTCACTATCCATGTGCTTCATTTCCCACAAAGAATCTTCTTAAGAAGAGTTCAAGTCAAGAGTTAAACTAGAACTTTCACAGAAGACTTACAGTCTCCCAGGCCCACACTGTGCCAAGTGCGAGAAAGCCCAGAGGCTTCCGTTGTGCCTGCCGCCTTCAGGTATTCTCAGACTACTGAAAGAAATAGCCAGTTAAACGGCTTGTCCATCCCCTCCCCTCCCCATGTCTTGTCCCTGAAACACAAAGATAATATTCCAAATTTTCCCGGGAACTCAAATAAGCCAAAAACAAATAGTGAGCCTTAAAGAAAACATCATGTCTCTGCATCGAAAGCGTTAAAGCAAATCCCCTTACGAGCTAACACTGAGGAGGTCTGTGTGAGTCTGTGTCCCTGTGGAGAAAATTCTATGGCTTCTTTCACTAATTTTTGGGCACCAGGATCATCCTGACAGATGGCAATGTGCGCCCACCAGTCCCAGAGTCTGGGCTGTGACCTCAGTCCACCAGATCACACTGGATTGAGGAAAGGGGCGGGGGACTCTAGCCACAGTTCTTTTCATACACATTGACATTTGGTGACTTTATTACAAACAAAGTAAGACTATGCAGTTTTC